CTTTCATCGCCCAATCATATGGTATAATCGACACCTATGCTATGAAAATAACTTGATTTGCTGTTAACATAAGTTATAATCATGTTAACAATTTACAATCCGATTGGAACCTCTTTTGCATGTGGTTTCTAGTTGAGTAATAAAAAAAGTTTATATTATACTTATTTGAAATACCATTCATAGATGATCTAACCTTGACAATTATTTTATACTCATTTAATCGTAATCCGCTGGCAACCCGGTACATTAGTAGATGATCTAACCTTGACAATTATTTTATACTCATTTAATCGTTATCCGCTGGCAACCCGGTAACTGAAAAAAATAATAAAATTGATATTTAAATATTAAAATTTAAAAACATAGATTTACTTACAAAAAAAATAAAAACCCTAATAAATTATAATACGGATGTTATGACCATAAAAGTTATAATTATGAATACCTAACAACATTTACAAGTATTAACATTATTCGAATAATATAATTAAAGTAATCATGTTAACAATTTATAATCTAATTGGCAGAATGTCGGGAAAATTTGTGCTAATAAAATGTGAGTTAAAATATGAGTTTAAAAATAGAAAAAACATTTTGTCCATCAATCTAAAAATTTTGAAATTGAAATAGTGCTCTCATCAACAAACAGCGCCAAAGTTGAAAACTATTAGCATTTTCTATTAACATGTTTTGTTCAAGAAAAAATGTAGAAGAAGAAAAAGAGGATATGTTTCAAGTCACAACCTGTCTATCAATTAGTAAAGATAATTCAGAATAGCAGATCCCCGATAACCAGAAAAGTTAAATGTTCTTGAACTCTTAATTACATAGACTTATTAAAGCACGCCATTGAAGGATGTGATGATCTAAGAATTAAAAGCACATTTCTCTTCTTATCTCTTCCTCTGTAACTTCTTCTCACCTCCTCCCAAATCTTCATCTTTCGTTCTTTTCTCTCTCTCTCCTTCTCTCCCCCATCTATTGTATTCTCTTCTCTTCTCCTCTACTTTCAGGTATGTCTTCTCCTATCTTTTTCCTTTCTTCTTCTCTTGTTATTTAACATAATTTTCTTTCTTTTTTTCTCTCTTACCAAGCTAGGGATAACTCACAATGACATTAAGGTAATATTATTCTTTTTCCTTCACTTTTTTTTTTGTTTTTTTAATCTTTATATTTTCTGCTCTTAATAATTGTATGAATGTTGTTGGAATTTTTAAAAATTTTCTTTATTGATTGTATGAATAGAGACGAGATCACATATGAGTGATATATGTGCTCCATCTTATTCACCCTATAGTCGTAGTGGAGAACCGCCTTCTCCTCCTCCTCCAATGCCTCTATTATAGACTAATTTTATTTGAACTTATAAATGTTTAAATTTGTAACAAATATTTGATTTGTATATTACTTTAATTTATTTTCTTTTTTTAATAGTTTTTTTAAAATATATTTTTAAATTATTACTAACAGAGTTACTGATGGTCTAAGTCTGGCAGTATATTCCAAATAATTGAAAAAGAATTATTCCAAATGTCACAACTATTATTTATTGATCGATATAATAATTTCATCAGTCAATCTAAAATTTTTGATAGTGAGACAGTGCTCTCATCAACAAGCGCACCAAAGTTGAAAACTATTGGCATTTCTTAGAACTTTTATTAAGACTATCTATTGAAATTCTAATGTTTGCAATAACGTTTTGTTCAAACAAGAAGATAAGGATTGTCACCAAGTCAAGATGTGGTCACCCACTTAATAATTAGTCGTCAAATCAATAGTTTTCAATTTTGATCTATAAAAGGAGGCATTTAATTTGTCATGCATTTAGATATCTTGCTTTTTAGATCAAGATCATGTTATTACTCTCTTTCTTTATATTTTTGTAAAGCTTAAGTTTTGCTTTCAGTAATCTCTTGTTTATGCCTTTCATTTCCTTTACTATACTTATATAATCATGTTCTCCTCTTGTTTATTTATATTTCACCTCTTCATTATATTTAGCTAAGTTTATTATATCAAGGTGAAAAGGTTACACTAATGGTGTAAAAATAAGTACAATATGAATTCAACAAAGACTTTTGATGTTGGATGCTAACATGTTTTGTATTTGTTATCTTGTTTATTTTTAATACTTTGCTTATTAAATGGTTAATTTAGATTTATATTGTATAATCCTTCGTACAACAAATACTTGACACTTTCATAGCTCAACCGTATGGTATAACCGACACCTATGCTATGAAAAGAACTTGATTTGCTGTTAACATAAGTTATAATCATGAATACCTAACAACATTTACAAGTATTAGTATTATTCGAATAAGATAACTAAAGTAATCATGTTAACAATTTACAATCTGATTAGAACCTCATTTGCATGTGGTTTCTAGTTGAGTAATAAAAAAAGTTTATATTATACTTATTTGAAATACCATTAGTAGATGATCTAACCTTGACAATTATTTTATACTCATTTAATCATTATATCAATATCACATCTCAAAGCTCTCTTCAACTCCTTTTTCTATTATTATCTATTTTTTTATTTATATAGTTAACATCTATGTGGTTCAACTCCGATCTTACAGGGTTATTTATTACTTTGACATCCTGTATTTAGAAGAAGATATTAATCTTTTGATCATGTTATTGACAAATAGTAAATTTCTAATGAGAATTTTTTTAAAGGATGATTTTTGTTGTGAGCATGTCGGGAAAATTTGTGCTAAATTTTATAAAATCTAAAACAAACCATAACAAGTAAAATTTCTGGGAATAGATTTTCAAAATTAATAAAACCCTTAACCGCATTACAATAATTCATCCTCCGCAATTCTTGGAGTGAATCTCGAACCTCTATAAAATTAAATGAATAAACTTGCAAAAGTATTGGTTTACCTCAAGATTATCCAACAAACTAATTAAAACTTCTAATAAATATTTATTATCAATTATGAATGTCCATACAAATTTATACATATAAATTTACAGAAATTACAACTTCGCAATAGCATTGATAAAAATTAAAACAAACTCGTTAAATAAGCTATTAATTGTTTCATCACAATACATCTAATTCGGTAATTCAATAAAGTTTCAATAATTTACAAACAAATAAAATTTTATAAAATCTGAAACAAACCATAACAAGTACAAAATTATACATTCATACAACAAGTTTGTTTGAGAAAAAACAATAAAACATGCACATACACTAACAAATTACATATACTGAAAAAAATAATAAAATTGATATTTAAATATTAAAATTTAAAAACATAGATTTACTTACAAAAAAAATAAAAACCCTAATAAATTATAATACGGATGTTGTGACCATAAAAGTTATAATCATGAATATCTAACAACATTTATAAGTATTAATATTATTCGAATAATATAACTAAAGTAATCATGTTAACAATTTATAATCTAATTGGCAGAATGTCGGGAAAATTTGTGCTAATAAAATGTGAGTTAAAATATGAGTTTAAAAATAGAAAAAACATTTTGTCCATCAATCTAAAAATTTTGAAATTGAAATAGTGCTCTCATCAACAAACAGCGCCAAAGTTGAAAACTATTAGCATTTTCTATTAACATGTTTTGTTCAAGAAAAAATGTAGAAGAAGAAAAAGAGGATATGTTTCAAGTCACAACCGGTCTATTAATTAGTAAAGATACTTCAGAATAGCAGATCCCCGATAACCAAAAAAGTTAAATCTTCTTGAACTCTTAATTACATAGACTTATTAAAGCACGCCATTGAAGGATGTGATGATCTGTGCATGTGGAACTGAAATTCAATCTGTGCCGCAGTAGAAGGCTCTTCGGTATATCAACCACGCAGATGGCCTAACATTCTGCTAGCAGTGATGCAAGGATGGTGTGCTTTCATACACCAGAACAGGCTACAAGGTTTTAAAATATAAGTCAGACATTCGAACACGGTTTTTAAGCACAGATCTATTTATATTCAATGATGGAAAGTGTTTATGATATTGTGGGAAAATAAATTTAATTCCAAGTGTAACAGAAATAAGAAATATTGACTGAATTACAACCCAGTTTGTTGTGCAAGCTTGGCCCATTGTTAGCATACATGCAGAGCACACAGATATCTGTACCGTACGTTAGCGGATAAACGTATGCTTAAGGAGACAATCGTTAGCATAAATCACCGCAGGACAGCTACCAGTACATGGAAAATTAATACGTGTGCTCAAAAATGGAGTTCAAATATGAACAGAATGATAAAGAGTGGGAAATGCATGCTATTAGTTCCATTGCCGAAGTCAAACATTATAAGATACTTCAAAGTCAAAAAAGAAAAGGTGGGGATAAAGCTTGTATTGTATTGCATATAGACAGAAACAGACAGCCTCCACAGTACCACCACCCCACCACCGACGCCCTCCACTAAAAGAGAAACCCAAAGCACACGTTCCTTTCTGTAATATTCAAGATCACCAAGTGAGAGGTACTGGGAATTTAACAAACATTTCAAAAACCGTGTCTCGTTACCTTTACAATGAGTGCCATACTTTTAAAAAACCTTGTCTTGTTACCTTTCAAATGCCTATATATAGGGCTACCCCTTCAAGCATTTCCAAACAACAAAACATACTGGCTTCTCATATAGCGAGTGACACGCATAAACATACAGATACATTGAGCCGCGAGAGTATAATCTGGAAATGGCAAGTCCAAGAGTGTTAGGGACTGCTTTCCTGGTCTTGCTTATTGTAGACCTCACCCTTGCTGCTAGGACACTGCAGGCAACCAGTGGAGGTGGAGGTGGGGGGCAGGGAGGAGGAGGAGGTGGAGGTGGTGGTTCAGGACTTGGGTCAGGTTACGGTTCTGGGTATGGATCCGGGAGCGGTGAAGGATATGGTGCTGGCGGTCGTGGAGGAGGAGGTGGTGGAGGCAGTGGCGGAGGTGGAGGTGGTGGCAGTGGTGGAGGCAATGGGTCAGGTTCTGGCTATGGGTCTGGTAGCGGCTCAGGCTATGGTTCTGGTAGTGGGATAGGTGGTGGTGAAGGTGGTGGTGGTGGCGGCGGCAGTGGAGGAGGTGGCGGTGGCGGTCAAGGCTCTGGATCTGGAAGTGGGTCGGGCTATGGAAGCGGAAGTGGAAGCGGTAGCGGAAGTGGTGGTGGAAAGGGTGGGAAAGGAAGTGGAGGAGGAGGAGGTGGAGGTGGTGGTGGTGGTGGGGGTGGAGGAGGAGGATCCGGCTCTGGCTCAGGTTATGGTAGCGGGTCCGGCTACGGGGAGGGATATGGAGGAGGGAAAAGCTAAGTCTCGTTTTCTTTTCTTCGACCAGCACTGACCCATTGGTCAAAATAAAGGATGCACACACAGTGGTTACCATTTCTTTTGTATTCTGAAATAAAATTATGGGAGCTCACACATGCATGCATGTAGCATGTTGCCATGACAACTATGCATGTATTTCTATATATAAATCTCTTAATAAAATCACTTTTTAGAGTACAATTTACTCTAAAAGTATATTTTTCAGATAATCTCTCCGCCAACCTTAGTAAAAAGTGAACATATCAGTTCCATGTAAATAGGATTTGATCACAAAAAAGAACTTCTGAAATTGAAAAATTCTCCCACAACCCAAGACTTGCGGTGTTGCCTTTGCATGCAGTAGAAGAACCATGTCACAGGTGAAAATAACCTACGGCTGCGAAAAATAATACCTCTGTAAAACCACTTAACCCTCTCTACCAAAATGTCACGCAGAGTTTTTGATCCCTCACCAATGGCGGCCAAAAGGCCTTTAGAAGCCGCAAAGTGAATTTTATATCCAAACGACCACCAGTAGGTCCGCTCAACAAATATTCTGAAAAGATATAATTTCAAGAAAACTATATATTCGCATTAATTTGCTATTAAAATTATGGGAGAAAACGAGATAGAGAGAGGATATGTTTCAAGGCACAGCTACTGTAGTAAGTAGCAAAGATAATTCAGAATAGACTTGTTAAAGTATGGCATCAAATTAAGGAAGTGATAGTATGTGCATGCTTATCTTTATTATCTCGGAAGTTCTCATGGCACCTTCATTAACAAATCTTGATATTGATAAGGGTTCCTAGAGTTAGAAGTTAATACAAAATGCAAGACCCAAAATCTGAGGCTGGTGCTAACAACATTTTGAGGGCTATAATTCCTGTTTGTAACCCAGCTAGAGGAGGTAAAGCTCAAAACGAAAATGCTTTTCCTTCTCTTGTTATTCGTGTCTGCTCGTCACTTTGTTTTCCTAACTTTGATTGTTTTGTGTGTTCTAGTCTTTTGATTGTAGGCCAAAGATGTGATTCTTCAACATGTGGAGTAATTTCATGTTTAAAGAAAAAATATTATTAGAACTCATTTTGACAACTTGTTCTTTGATTTGTTTTCTTATTATAAGTCTCACATTGTTCTTCAAAAAAAAAAAATCAACTAATAAACTTTTCTCATTATTTGTTCTACACTCAAAAGCTTTCCAGGATGTTATCATGAGTAGAAATCTAAGTTTATTTGGACCTCTAATTAAACTTGTAAAATCAAGCTAAAATTCTATTTGCAGCACGATTCTCTACTTTCACACTACAGATTCCTGGATATTGCAAGAAACCAAGTTAAAAACAAAAATCTAAGTTGTCGTAGAGTAATGATTATAAAAAAAATATCATAACAGCATGATTATCTGTTTTCACATTACAGATTCAAACGGACATATCTTAAGCTTCAGATATCAAAATCATGCGATTTGAAAGCCCTAAATCATCTACACATTCATAAATACAGCTTTTATGAATGATGTCATGTTAGATAAAATAGTTTTGAAGAAACAAATCTGGGCATAAGCTGAAGGACAATATTGGTCTCCTAGTCTAATGAGAAAATTAATTGCAACGAGCATTTCACTATAGCTATGAGTCTGACATAGAAATGATGAACCTTAAAATGTAAGAAATGTGCAAATCAAGTATGAATGATAGAATATAGCTAAAATAATCGGATATTGCAAGAAACCAAGTTAGAAACAAAAATCTAAGTTGTAGTAGAGTATAAATTATAAAAAATTTGTCATAACAGCATAATCAATTTTCAACATAATTTTTTAGAGATTTAACCAACTTTAATAAACAGGTAAAGAAAAAGATTTAAGTAATATTAAAGACTCCTAATTAAGATAAGAATCCTAACAAAAGATAGCAGCTGAGGGAGGGAATAAAAAGAAAGCAAATCACAACACAAACAACTCTCTTCTTCTTCTCTGCTATGTTCTTTTCTCTTTATTTTTTTGTTAATTTTCTAGCATCTATGAACTAAACTTTGACTTTCAGTTTAAGGGAAATAGACACCATCTCCATTATTAAGTTGTGAGAAATAATGTTATTATTATAATTCTTTCCTATTCAAGTACTTATTTATTTTTATTCCAGAATTAAGCTATTGATTTCTATTCATGCTTATTGAATTGTTTTGAGATGATGTATATGTGTTTTCTAGTTTCTTTCAATCTGCAATTGTTGTTAGAGACTAGAATAAGAAGCAAATGAGTTAACTTAATTGTTGTAACTGTTGTAACTGTGACTTCAATTTTTTAGGGAGGAATAAGGTAAGTTAAATTGCTCAAGCTTTTAAACAGTTGCTTAAAATAAATTTTACAAACTTTACTTCTAAGGTCGCTGCTGAGTGAATTAAATTTGCTTTTCAATATTAAATTCACTTGCACTACCAGAAAGTCGATGAAAACCAATGAAATTACTGACTAAATTTTTTCATCGATAAACATTATAGATGGACATAATTTCATCTTTAATTTTGTTGTATATACCGATAGACAATTTCCATTGGTAATACAATCAGTATATACCTACGAACATATTTCATTAGTATATACTTATCGTAGTACCGACGAATTATACAGATTTTTGAAAAGTTATAATGGTGTGATGAAGTCGATTTTTTTCAGATGGTTTTACCAATGGAATGACCAAGGGATTCAAACCAGGATCTCTATACAGTGACATGGCACAATCACCGGCGGACTTACCGATGAGTACATCGATGGAATGTTTACGTAGGTAATTCCATCTGTAAAAGCTAATATATACCCACACTACTAACTCTCTCTTCCTTTATTTTTCCTTCTTCTTCCCCTTCTTCATCCCCATCCCAACTCTTCCCTCCCAAACTACACCTAACAACCCATCCCAACTCTCCCTCTTTTCTCAACACAAGCACTCAAGTTTCTTATACTTTTGTACGTAGTCACAACGTTCGTTCTTCAAGCAATTTATTGTAGATTTTATCATTTTTTATAAGTAAATCTATCCTTTTTAGTTTTAACATTAAAAGGTCAATTTTATTGTTTTTTTAATTTTTTTTAGTATATGTATCTCGTTAACATATATACTTGCTAACTATTATTTGTCAAAGAAACTTCTAATATGAATGTATAATTTTGTAGTTGTTATAGTTTGTTTTAGATTTTATCAAAGTCTATTTGTTTGTAGATTGTTGAAACTTTATTTGAATTACACCGAATTAAATGTGTTGTCATGAAATAAATAATAGATTATTTAACGGGTCCATTTTAATTTTTATCAATTCTATTGTGGATTTGTGATTTTCATAAATGTAAATATGTATGGATTTGTGATTCAAAAGCCCTAAATCATCTACACATTCACGAATACATTTTATGGATGATGTCATGTTAGATAAAATTGTTTTGAAGGAAAAAATTTGGGCACAAGCTGAAGGACAAGATTGGTCTCTTAGTATGATGAGGAAACTAATCGCAACGAGTATTCCACTATAGCTGAGGGTCTGACATATAAATGATAAACCTTAAAATGTAAGAAAGGTACAAATCAAGACTCTAACATTCTATGAATGATAGAATATAGCTGGAATGACCGGATATTGCAAAAACAATTGTTGTCAGGGACTAGAATAAGAAGCAAAGGAGTTAACTTAATTATTGTTGTTGTAACTGTTACTTCAATTTATTAGGGAGGAATAAGCTAAGTTAAATTGCTCACGCCTTTAAATAGTTGCTTAAAATAAATTTTACAATCTTTGCTTCTAAGGCTACTACTGAGTGAATTAAATTTGCTTTTCAATATTAAATTCACTTGCACTACTAAAAATTCAATGAAAACCAATGAAATTACCAACTAAATTTTTTCATCGGTAAACATTACAGATGGACATAATTTCATCTAATAATTTTATTGGTATATACCAACAAACAATTTCTGTCGGCAATACAATCGGTATATACAGACGGATGTAATCCGTTAGTATATACTGATCGTAGTGTTGATCAATTATATAAATTTTTGAAAAGTTATAATGGTGTGATGACATGGATTTTTTTCAGATGGTTTTATCAACAGAATGACTGAGCGATTCAAGCCAAGATCTCCATACAATGACGTGACATAATCACCGATGGACTTACCAACGAGTATATCGATGGAACATTTACATTGGTAATTCTATATGTAAAATCTAATATATACCCACACTACTGACTCTCTATTCCTCTATTTTTCCTTTTTCTTCCCCTTCTTCATTCTCATCCTAACTCTACCTCCCCAAACTCCAGCCAACAACCCATCCCAACTCTCCCTCTTTTCTTAACATAAGCACTCAAGTTTCTTATACTTTTATATGTGGTCACAACATCCATTCTCCGAGTAATTTATTGTGGATTTTATCATTTTTTTATAAATCTATCCTTTTTAGTATTAACATTAAAAGGTCAATTTTATTGTTTTTTTAGTATATGTATTTTGTTGACATATGTACTTGTTAACTATTATTTGTCAAAGAAACTTGTAATATGAATGTATAATTTTGTAGTTGTTATAGTTTGTTTTAGATTTTATCAAATTATATTTGTTTGTAGATTATTGAACCTTTATTTGAATTACACCGAATTAGATGTGTTATGATGAAATAAATAATAGCTTGTTTAACCGATCCGTTTTAATTTTTATCAATTATATTACGGAGTTGTGATTTTTGTAAATGTAAATATGTATGGACGTTGATAGTTGATAATTGATAATGAATATTTAACATAAAATAATAGCTTGTTTAACCGATCCGTTTTAATTTTTATCAATTATATTACGGAGTTGTGATTTTCATAAATGTAAATATCTATGGACGTTGATAGTTGATAATTGATAATTAATAATGAATATTTAACATAAGTGTTTTTGTAGTTTGTTGGATAATGTTGGGGCAAACAATATTTTTGTAAATTTATTTACATAATATAGTTAATTAATGCATGTTGTCATCATAATTAATGCATATTTAATATAATTGTTTTTGTAGTTTGTTGGATAATGTTGGGGCAAACCAATATTTTTGTAAATTTATTTATATAACGTAGTTAATTAATGCATATTGTCGTCATAATTTTGTAGAGGTTCAATAGAAGTCATAGATGATCGTTCATGGATGTATCAAGACTCACCTAAAGGGTTGCAAAGGATGGATT